TGACCCCAGCACACTTTCCTGCCCAGGGCAGGGGGTTGGACTCAGTGATCAATTAGGCTCCTTCCAACCCTAGAAAGCTATGAACTGAAAAAGCCTGAAGCAGAGTCGACCTAACCTACGTGGGTTTCTGTAAGTGGTGTAGATTAGGTCAGGAGTGAACAGAACACACGTTCACCTTTGGTGAGGAAAGCACGCGAACTGCTTGCACAGGCTGAGGTCAGCAGTTTGGGGATGGTCCCGTATACTTCCCACCACGCTTTGAGGACTCGCCGGGCTGCCAGAGAATGCCAAGCCAAGCCAAGTGGCCGGCCTACCCCCGATTGACTGATGTCCACAGGTGACCACACTCCCAATCCCTATCACTGTGGACCACCCCCATGCCCAGCCCTTGGCTTCCAGGAGACCCCTAGAGTGGGTCACTGTGGCACACCCAGCAGCCTGGCTAGCAGCAGTGGGTGGGCAGCGGGAACTCCAGAGGGAAGGATCAGACCCCCCAGAGCTCCAGTGAATGGCAGGCAATGGCAGGAGACCTAGGAAACATTGTATAAAGATAGAAAAGTACTGAGCTACAGACGCTGCCTTCCCCCTACTCCCTACCTGTGGCTGACAGCTGGCCACAGGCAGGAAGCAGGCAGGGTTGGGCAGAGGGGCTGTGCTGATTGGCTTTCTGAGAGCCTGGGGGTGGGGCTAGCAAGAGCAGCCAAGCAGGGGCCAGCTGCTTGTGCACCTGCTCCCGATAGGGGAGTTAGCGGGGGGCTGCAAGCAGCCTGGGATGCCAGCAGATAGCAACCTAACTTGAGCCAGTAGGGGATCTGGTACAGAAGTTCAATAGACCAGTCTAACCTAAAATCAATTAAGTCTGAGACTGCATCCGTTCAGGTCTATCTTAGACTGGGTTCTGCCATTATTAAGCCAGCCTATGTGCACTGAACTTCTGTTTGCTTATGGGTATAGACCATGATCACTTATACAGGTTTATGTATAACTTCTGTACATGCGTAATAAGTCATACTCAAGCAGATGGAGCTTGGGTTGTGGCAGCATCATGGAGAAAACAGATACCTGTCTCCATCCCCTTTCCTCCTGCACTACAAGAGGATTGTAAAAGAACTTCCTGCTGTCCCTGCTTCTCTTGCATCTCCAGTACTGATAGTTCCTAAAGTCCAAGTGGTGACTTTCAACCTGAAAGCAAGAGAATTAACCCAAGCACACAGTTCCAAAACACTCATTATTCCTAACACTGCTCCTCTTTCAAATGTGCGGCTTCTCCTTCAGTGAAAGAAATAGTCCATGAAGTAAGTGTCCTTCTCTTTCCTTTTATTTTTTGAGGACTACAAAGCTGCTGAGCAGCATTCTTGCACATGTATACAGGCATGGAGATAATTTTGCAAACTCAGTTGTCTTATTCCACCATGTAGCTCCCATGTGATTACACACAAGTCTACATGTAGACACGCACCCCCTCTTGAGTACCAACGATGCATACTTTACCCATAATTCTGGGTAACTTCACCTTAAATATAAGTAGCCATTTAAAAAGCATTAGGCTGTGCAATATGACTGACTGCTAGAAAGGACTTGAGAAATTATAGAAAAATACCTGAAATTTAAAAACTATCCGCATGCCAGGAAACGCATACAAACATTTTCCACTGCTTTTTTACACAAGCAAAATGGACAAGAGGGGCTTAAAAGCTTTTAATGAAAGGAACAATCCAGTAAAAGTGGTTTAGCTGCCCTGATCTATTTATCTTCGGAGCAGAGACACATCACTGTATGTATTAAGTTGAGTCTTCAGGACTCTACGCCTGTCAAAACTGTTTATGTATACTTGCCAACAATAGCAAGAAGAGCAGAAGGATTGGCAGGCACAATGGTGAATGAGACACAGAATTGGAGCACATGAGTCAAAGATCCTCACACTTGCAAAACGATGGAATAACAAAATTTGGAGGGAAAAGACACTTCCCATCAGTACTTACTGATGGGGATTACATGGGGTGGAATGAAAAAAACGCTGACCTGGAAAAAATACCTAGAGAAAATGAATAATCAGCTATGTGTAATCTTGATGCCCATTCAGTCCTGGTCTCTGGTGCCGGTGAAAACATTTTGGAGTGAGCTACCATGATGGTTATTACAAAGTAAGTTTAGATTGGATATCTGGAAAAACTTCATTCTTAGAACAGCGAGGCAGTGGAGAAGACTTGCCTAGGGAAGCTGTGGACTCTCCATCACTGGAGGTGTTCAAGAAGAGGTTGGGGATGATCTAAGCATAGTTATGCTTGTGCTTTACCTTGGGTATTTTCTATGCATTTGGGCTTTGCTGGTAGCCCCTGCTCCCCTGTGCTTTTCTGCTATATGTGTCAGGGTTTTAAGCCTTCCCAGAGGCATTGGGTATTGGCTATAGCCAAGGCTGAGGACTTTGGGCAGGGGTGTACCAATACTACTGCTAGAAGCAAAGCCAGTGGTTCCTGGCCAGAAGGTCCTGTCCCTCCACTCAGGGTCAGACCAGTCATCGTATTTGGGTCAGGAAGGAATTTTACCCCATGGTCACATTGGTAGCAGAGGGCACGGCCCTCTCCCCGGGATCTCTTGAGTGTATAGTGACAACCTTTTATAGAAGTAGGACATTGGCTGATGTGGTTCCCCTGCTTTACCTGTAGTAGGTTAGGGTATTAGGTCTATGTTGTGTCAGGTTGATGGTAGTCTTATGTAGAGTTTAAATTATGGGATGGTTTGGACAGGGATAATCCTGCCTCAGGCAGGGGGTTGGATTAAATGATCTCTGGAGGTCCCTTCCAGCCCTACTTCTCTATGAGTCTATGACTGTCCTGTTCACACATGCCTATAGGTAGCTGGACTGAAACTACTGCATTCTGAATATTTAAAACTAGTATTTTAGTTACTCGTATTTAAGGAAAAATAGCTTTCTGCAGTTGCAGAAAGACTTCTAAATAATGTCTAACATCTAAATCAAACTAACTCTAAAATATTTGAAGGCTGTGTTTAAAAAAAAGAAAAGAAAAGGAAAGGAAGAGAGAGGTCACAATTAAACAAAAGCACACACAAAGAAATAAAGGTTATGCTTCTACACTTCCTGGTTCTGGGTGTGAGCAAAAGAGGAAATACCAAAATACCACTAGAAAAGCTATTTCCACCCTAACCCAAACCAGAAAGCATAGATAAAAAACTTCTTCTTATTAGATCATCAACCATATTTTCAAACCCAAGAGACTGATAAGCCTTTTTTAACATTTAATCTCTGCTCACCCTCTGAATTTTCTGACATTAGACTATCATTAGGGACTTTCTGATTTAGAAATTCATTCATTTCAGGTTCCTACGAGTGTTGTAGATAGGCACACAGCATTATCACCAAAAGTCTAATCTGACATATCCCTATGTGGTTCACAAGTTCCCACGCACATCCCCCCTTGGCTTCTATTGAGCTACTCATCTGATTGTAAGTGTCTGTGCAAGGTGTGGTATCTTGACTTTCCATGTATCAAATAAAGTAGTGATTATTTTCTTTTCAGCATCACAACCTGAATACAAGGAAAACAGCATAACTGCCAGCTTAATGGAAGGAAAGGAGAAAAGGCTTATCCTGTCAGCCTTGCTTACAGAAATCCGCTGGTGACTTTGACTCAGGCTTTGGATAAGATGAACAGGATTCAATCTAAAGTACTGCGCTAGATGTGGGAGGACCAAAAAATGCCATTGTTTAGAACCTCCAAAATCTTCACATACCTGGATGAAGCACATTAAAGGCAGTTTCCATTTACAAATGCAAAGGAGGCAAAGCATTTTCTCACTTTAAGGTACACAGAATTTTAATCTGAGAACTGCGTGACTACCTGAGACCCACAATATTGTACGTTAAAATTCAGGAAGCTTTCACTATTCCACTGGGAGGACAATGCTGAAGTATAAATATTTCAAGTAAACTAAAAACTACCTCCAGTGCAACCGCTGCCTAGTATCCAAGCAATTTCGAGGCACTCTAATCCCCCTGTCCCAGCAAAAAAACCCTCAAACTAATTCAAACAACAACCTAGAAAGGTTCAGCATCACTAGATACTTATTTCAGGACAGGATAAAATATATTACAACAGATCAGCTTCTACTGTGGACAGACAACATGCTCACGTGATTTCAATGGGAGATGTGACTTGGTGAGGTCTGCAGGATTGCACCCTAAGAATCCCTTTTCAAATGCTGAGTCACTGATTTTGAGACCATCAGACCCTGCATTTGTGACTGCGGCTCAATTCAAAATGTATCGCTAATGCCACTCTCATGCACCCTCCTATCCAAAAGCCAAGTTATAAAGTTCATTAAGCCTTACATTTTATTCCAGTTTCAGAAATGATTCGCTGCAGTGTATCTTTAAGTGATTTTCCTACAATACAAAACAGTCCCTTTTTTTGGCCCCTAGTAACACACTGCACCAAATTATCACTTTTGCTACACATTTTTGGGGAAGATGATAGGAAAAAAATGGCGCGTTGATTCTTTTTTCAAAATTCCTTTTAAAACTAGGTGCAAAAAGGCCTAGGAGAGAGATCGTTACAAGCCAGATATACAATCCCTATGTTTTTTAAAAGCCTTCTTTGTTAAGATGAAGATATTGTACTGTACCAGCAGTGGCCCTAAAACTCCAGGATCTCTTTCTCACAGGAGCAATTCTTAAAATTAAGGAGGCTACTCACGTAAGCAGGGGCTCTTTGGAGGAGGAAGCGTTTTCAGAATTGAGCCCACCTGTACGTTTTGCTCAGGTAAAGTTCATTAACGGTTAGCTTGCCCTGTAAACAGCCTGCATGGCAGAAAAGTAAAAATGGGCTTTACCAGCATTACAAACAAATCCTAACTCTTGAGTTGCAGGGATCTAGGGGTTTGTACTTTGATTAGCGGCTCACACGCTCCCCTTCGGTCGCTGTCTCAGCACTAAAGGTTACAATGCCAACCACACCTCGGTGCAATGTGCTGGAACTCACCAGGAATTGTGTGGTTTGAATTCCCATTCCAGATTTGCTTCTCAAACCTAAGGCCATTATTCCATCTTAGGCTAGAATCTATTCTCCCACAAGTAGCTGAAAGAGACCATGTTTCTTCAGTTATTAATCCCAGTCAGAAGAAAAAAATCCAATCCAGTGCAATCCAATGGAGGGGGATCCACCGAGTTCTGGAGGTTAGAAGTTTTGGTTTGCATCCATGAATGCCCTGAGCGGTGAGGAGACACAGGCACTACGACTGGGAAGAGAGCAGGAAGGAAAGCCAACCATGTGAGCCACACGAACAAAAAAAAGAGTCTGCTCGCGGGGCAGCTCTTGGGTTGATAGCCAGGATTTCAGGAAATCCAAACACTCAAACAGGAAATCTGAACACTGGATAAACATTCCAGAATCGCCGCAGATACAGTTAACATGCCGCGTCTCCAGTTAACCCTTCCCCTGCCGACAGCCAGAGCTGAAATCAAACCTGCCTTGTAACCTAATCTGTCCAGCGGGGTTCAAAAGTCTGAACAGCTTCGCATTGTGCATTAGTCTGGGCAGCAAACACCCGGCTTAAACCCCTTTTCATTTGAAAACCAAACGGCCGAGAAAGATTCTCCCCCTGTTGTTCTTGATTTCTGCACGGCAACGTTTCAGTTAAAAAAATGTGCAATTTTTTTTTTTAACGTTAGTATTCCTTATTTGACAATGAAATGATATTGCAGTTGAATACTGCAAAAGCAGAGTAGTGAAGGTCTGTGCTGCTAAGCATGTTCACTTATTAGTCCTGTGTTTGCTTTATTACCATCTAGATTTTTGGGGGACTTTTTTTCCCCTCCCTTTTGCTGTAACTTCAGATTTCTACAGCTTTTTATGTGTTACTTGCAGGGTACCACTTGATGATTTATTATTCTGCTGACTGCAGCAGAATGGGGGAAGGGCAGTTGAAAAATGAGAGAGAGAGAGAGCTCTTAAAGAAACAGGGAATTTAAAATATATATACACTTTGACTCCATTTTGTCAGGTACTTTAGGTGCAAACACTTCAGCCTGTATTAAGGTAAAACTTCAGATGAAACAAGGAGAGTGCTGCCTAAGGAAGGACTTTCCACTTGCCTTTTGATTTATTTTCCATTGTAAACAAATAACAGCAACAATAAAAACCCCAGCAAGTTGCTGTGGTTGTTGCTTGTGACATCTTTTGGTGTTTTCTATGGTTATTTTATTTGATTTGGAGAAAATATCAAATTAAGACTCTCAGCACCCATAGCATTTAAAGACCCTATAAAGTCTTTTGCAAAAGCAGGCGGATAATTGATCCCTGCTTTTGCAAATGCTTATATATGTACTTAACTTTATGTGTAAGCAATCCCATGGAAATCTGTGAACCATTGAAATGGACAAAGCCAAACACACATGCATTGGCAGGACAGGGACACCTTTATGTTTTCTGAAATGTAGCCTTGTGTGAATTCTTCATGTTAATAATTCTTACTTCAGGCAAGGTCATGATGCTATGAATGCCTTGCCCCCATCTCCTTTAAAAGTTCCCTTATTTCATTGTAGCTCAAACTATATAACATCTGCCCAAGGTAGCTGGATCTTCCTGAGTCCTTAAAAACTTTAGACATGGGAGCTAGCGCACTGAATGTCATGTCGCCAGCAAAGGGTACTGGATATAGGAATAATCTGCTTTAATTCGTCCACCTTATTCAGTGGTGGATAGCCACATTCTGCACCAGCTAGACTGTTCCCTTCTGGAAATCCTATACGTACTCCAGGTATATGTAATATACCCTACATTGTACTATATAGACAGTCAATCTAGGCATCCCAAAGTGATGACCATGATGGATTTGTCATTTCTTTTAGGTTCAGCTCCTTAATCTCCTTTTTGTATGCTCCATCATGGTTGTATCCAGGTCCTTTTCTGAGCAGGCTTGGGGAGAAAAGCATATCTGAACATGCTCTGAAGATGGGTCAAGCCTGGACGCTCAGTCTTGTCTATTTAGGTAGGTCATTCCAGAGTCAGGAACGCTTCACCAGAAACATCTTAACTCCAGCCCAGAGTTTCAGTCTGACCATAATTATGAGCACTGTCCCAGAACACGGTTGTTCTGGTGGGTCTTGTATGAGAAAGTACCTCCGAGTCCATCCTCCCTTTCCCAGCGAAGAGGGTGCAGCAATGGGCCTGAGAGAAAAGGTGATGTGGAGAAAGGTGCTTCCACTTTACTCTTTTCCTCACATTTTCCCAGAGAAAGCAGCTTTGTTTGCAGGCCTGCTTGTGAGTCATGGAAAGGTGAATTCCTCACAACCCCCCATCATTCTTTTCCTATCTGCCAGGATGCCTAAGGCCACTGATATCACTGCCATAAAAGAGAAGCTGGCACCCTCAAGGTCTCGCTGAATTTAAACTTGGAGGGTGGAGCACAGGTTTGCAAAGCTAGACTTTGAAAAAAGGCCCAGAAAGTCGCTCTGTTTGCACATGGCTTGAACTCTAACTAAAGAATTCCTGTAAATACATCTCCTAACAAAAAGCCAGATTAGCTTTAGAAATGCAAAGTTTTCATTATGCAGCATGCAGTAGGTGAAAACAAATGCCTAATGGTTTCCTAATGATGTAAGAAGTAGAGCTGGGGGAAAAAAGCAAAAATGTCCATGTCCTTTGCATGCCACAATGACTTTATTCACTTTTTTTCCCAAGAAAGTTCTCATTTCCTCAGTTTTCTTCTCACCACCTCTTTTCTTTCCCCCTTTGTTTCTCTGCTCAATACTTTTCGTGGCAAAAGAAAGAAAGATGGGGTAGGATCAAAAACAGCAAAGAAAGACAAGATTGATTGTTCATTTTTTCCAATTTATTGAAAATAAAAACTATTGTTTATGACCCCCCCCGCCCTATTTTCAATCAAAATGCTTTTCATTTGAAAACTATGAGTCAGATGGAAGAAAGCAGTCAGGAAGATGGGGTTATGATGGACTGCTACTAACATCTGCTGTAAATCTGTTAGAGGTCATCTGCATTCTTCTGTAGGCCAGAACTCACTTCAGGGTGAGCAAGGAATAGCAATAAAAAGACAGCTTACTTTAGCCAGTTTTAATGTACACTGGACACGTCTACAAATGCCCTTGATTGCACAATTGGCACCGTGTAGTCATTTAGTGCTTGCTAAGGTGCTAAATCCCACGCACTAAATGACTGTGCAGTTCCTCCCAGTACTGCGGAGTCCTGGCGGCGCACGGCTCATTTTCAACCCTACTGCGCAGTAGCTCGTTGCTACTGCATAGTAGTGGTGGTGTCACTGGTAGTGCCTGCTGATGCTGCATCACCACAGCAATGAGCTACATCGCCATAGCATCTTGTGTAGATACCCCCTTTAAGTACCATTGCTGCTGCTTTCATTTCCAGTATTGAAGCAAATAGTTAGATGCAGGGCTGGTTAGAAAAATAGTTCTCTTTTTTTCCCTTGGAAAGTTTCAAAGAAAACAACATTTTCATGCGTTTCTTCTATGGACAATTTTGATTTGTCAAAAATTAAACCCCAATAAAATGAACCTTTCAATCAAAACCTGCTAAAAACCAAAAAAGGAAAAAAGAAAATACTGAGAAAAAAAGCTGCTTTCTGTGAATGCATTCATTTGATCAAAGCTCAGTTGGCTATTGGACAGGTGTTACTGGAAAATTTTATGATCAGTTCTAGTCAGATGGAGAAGAGTAAGCTGAATGTTAGATAGAATGATAAATCTGATAAAAACAAATGATAAGGAAATGTCCTGCAAAAACAAAGGTAAAGAAAAATGTGGAAGTGATAACACCAGAACTGTGAAACCAAAAGGCAAGGAAACACCGTAAGTGCTGCAGTATCCACTAAAGAAAGGCCTGTTAACTTACTGAACTAGATGTGAAGAGCCTTGACACTAAACTTGAGGCTAGGGATAGAAAATACACATATATAATTGAAAACCAGTTCCAATCTGTAACACAATAGAAGTTCAGTGTGCATAAACTGCTTTCACAACGGCCCAAACCAGTTTAAGATAAACCTGGATGGATATAGTACCAGACTTAGCACATTTAGGTTAAGCCAGTTTACTGAATTTCAGTCCCAGATCCCCTCCAGATTCAAGTTGACTCACAATTCCCGAGCATCCCAGGAGGCTTTGCACCTCCCCCACAACCCACCTCTGACAGGGTGTGCTGGCTAGCATTGGCCCAAACTGTCTGCTCCAGGTGAGCAGGGAGGTGTGCTCTAGCGCCCACCAGCTTCTAGCTTGGGCCACTGCAGGGAGGTGGCTGCATTTCCAGAATCAAAAGTGAATGTCTGTTCACTTGCTTACTGGTTCAGTCTACACAGTTTAGACTAACCTGCAAAGTTTGAATCAATTTAGCCTTGGGGGTTTTTTTCACTATCTGTACTTATCCAGAAAGAACCACAGCTACCCATAACATACCCTCATCATCTGGCTTTATAGTTGTTTGCTCCACACCCATAGGTGCTTTGTCATACATGATTTTAAGCTGTTCAAGTGGTAAACCTGATCAAAGCATTAAAAAATTCAAGTGTTTCAATGAAACAGCTCTAAAATCTGCTGAATTAATATTCCAGTTCACTAAATTAAAAAATAAAAATCTAGCTTAGCCTCTGAAAAAATACAGATGATTTGACAAAAAGATGATATGTTTACAAAAAGTTATAGTTAACTTTGCAAGCTGCAAGTTGCAAATTCTGTTATTTCTAGAACTAGTTGGAAAGTTAAATGAGCTTTCCCCCTTCCATTTTAATCAAAATACTTCACTGAACTGGGGGTAAAGGGTGTAAAAAAAAATCCAAAATATGAAAAAAAGTATATTTAGGGCTTCAGTTTGAAATGTTCTTCTCAACTTACAAGTTGGTGCTATAGCCTTAAACTAAGCTAACTTACTCATGCAGAGTTAATTTCCCCTCTTTTAGACCTCTGCTTATGAATCCGGCCAAACATTTACTTGGTGATTTCAGCCAAATCAGCAACTCCTAGAAGCTGGATTCCCCTGGACACTGGTAAGTGTTGAAACAAAGCTCCGAATTCACACTGTGACCATATACTGCATTTATGAGAACATACACTTAAGCTCCGCAAACTATTCCAGAAAATGACTAGAAAACACACACTAAGTGATTGAATAAACAGTAACATTATTTAATGTAAGCCATAAACAGTATTTTTATCACAAAGTTTAGTAATTAACTGCTATCGGGACGTCTTGCTGCGTCACGAAAAATACTTCTTTGTGCCCTGTTTTTCAGTTTCCACCATGTTTGCTTGGCGATCCCTGCCAAATCTGGTACACTCGCCTCCTTCGTAAATGAGCAGTCAAGGAGGTTTACTTTTTAAGATTGGCATCCCTGCTGGCAGCATTTTGTGTTAGCAAATGTACCAAGCCCTCTTCACAC